CTTTGTAAAAACCCGTTAACTAATTCATTTTTAAATTTCTTTCAGGCTTGATTACTCACTACAAGAAAAATAGATTTTAGTGACAGGAAATTTGTGATAAATTTTGAAATCATCACTATAACTTATTATAATTATGATAGATCTAAAAAATTAATTACAGATACATACATATTTAATTATGAAAAAAAAATTCATCATAAAAAATATATTTTGTCATTGAAAAATATTCATAGAGATAAAATAAATTTTTGTCGAAAAAAATCGTCACTATAATTCATTATAATTATGACAGAATTCTAATATTGGTCACATATACCTTACACATTCAATGATGACCAAATAATTCATTACTAAAAATATATTTCGTTACTAAAAATTATCAATTTTTTTTAATTAATGTATTTCACATCAATAAAAAATATATAAGAGAATAAAATTTTACACTATAAATATATTCCACATTGATAAGAAATATTTAAGAAAATAAATTTTTGCACTATAAAACATATGAAGCTCAATAGAACTTGAGATTAATTTGGGTTTGATTAATTTGAATTGGGTTTGATTAATTTTAATTAAAATTGATTAGTGTTGAAATAATAATATTTTTTTATTAAACTTTTGTGATAAATTTATATATTAATTTTTTGTGACAAAATTTTTGTTATAATATTTGTGTTGTAATTTTATAAATATTTTTTTATTTAATATCAATTTTAATAATTAATGACTAAATTTTTTTATCACAATTGTATTTGTGACTATTTTTTTGTCACTCAATTGTAACATTTTTTATGAAAATTATTGTAACAAAAAATATTTTTTTGTGATGATTAAATTTGTTACAAATAACTCATTAATAATGTAGATTTTTTTATTATTATAAAATCTTTTTCTGTGATAGATGTCAAATTCGTCACTAAGAGCATTAATGACAAGGGTTTTAGTAATGATTTAAATTCATCACTAATTTTAGTTTGTGATAGAAAATAAAAGTTTAGTAACTAAATTATTAGTCACTAAATATGGATTTTCTTGTAGTGACTATTTTAGTTTGGAGAAAATGTCTAAATAAGATATTAATTAATATTTTTTTCTATTTATAAATGCTAATTTTAT